ACTTTTCAAGCCCCGCTGATGCCAATTTCCGCCCTACTTTTCTGCTGCTGTCTCCGCCCTACTTCTGTGGATGTCCGCCCTACTTTACGTGGGTTGCAGCAGTTTCCGCCCTACTTTTTCGGCTCCTCATAAGTGGATTTCCGACGCAGTTTTCAGTTGGGGAAAAGGCCAAAAGTAGGGCGGATCTGGAGTCAGGGCGACGTGTAATCGCCCCCGGCCCTGGCGCGATTGGCGAAAAGCCTGAGGCTTTTGCCCCTGCACCACGCCGACTGCGCTCCCGACCCAGGACCGGAGGCGCCAGGGCTTCCCTCCACTGCGTCCTGCCCTCCCGCGGGCCTCGGCGACACGTGCGCGTTGGGGATTAGCGCCTGGACTTAAGTCGGGCCTGTCCCTTTCTTTACAGGGGGGATACCCAGAAATAGTCAAAAAACATTCGGCGGACTATTCTTTATGTATTTGTCATCATTTGGGCGTATTTTTCTAGGGTATGTTTAGATTTGTCGTCGTCGAAAATCCCTCTGTAGGGCGACACGCCCGGCTTCAGCCTGGACCTGCGGGCCGTGGATTTTTCACGGGCTCACACTAGTCAGCTACAACGCTGGGATCAGCGCGTGCGAGGGCGAGCAGTGGCAGCGGGCTTTGGCGCTGCTGAGCGAGATGTGGAAGGCGAAGCTGACGCCCGACATCACCTCCTCCTACAGCGCCCGGACCACCGCTCGTAGCCTTCCCCTCCTCCTCCTCCTCCTCCTACTCCTCCTCCTCCTCCACAATTACACAATATGAAAATACTCTCCCACTTCCCCTGATGGCGTCCCGAAGATATCCGACACACCCCCGCGTATTGTTTTTTTTTACACAGGATTCCCGGGAAACGGGTTTTCGCTTGTTCCCTACCTAGGCTCTGCCTAGAAGGGTTCTTACTCTCTTAGCTTAAAGGGGCTGGGCAGTGTAAAGCGCCCCGGGCGGTTCCCCCAGTCCCCGCCCCGCGGTTCCCCCCAGTCCCCTGGGAGCTTTAGCTTTGGCTTTAGCTTAGCTTTAGCTTAGCTTTAGCTTAGCTGTAGCTTAGCTTTAGCTTAGCGTTTCGCTTAGCTTTTCGCTTAGCGTTTAGCTTAGCTTTAGCTTAACTTTAGCTTAGCTTTAGCTTAGCTTGAGCTTAGCTGTAGCTTAGCTTTAGCTTAGCTGTAGCTTAGATTTAGCTTAGCTTTAGCTTAGCTTTAGCTTAGCTGTAGCTTAGCTTTAGCTTAGCTGTTGCTCAAATGTAGCTTAGATTTAGCTTAGTTTTAGCTTAGCTTTAGCTTAGATTTAGCCTAACTTTAGCTTAGCTGTGGCTTAGCTTTAGCTTAGCTTTAGCTTAGCTGTAGCTTAGCTTTAGCTTAGCGTTACTGTTACTACTAATGTTGCTTTCCTAGGGGTTCCAACTTCTAGGTAGGGTCGCACTGGGATAATGTTTTTTTCAAAATGCTGCTCTCGCTGAGGCGCCGGCTTCATTTCTGCTCCCGAATCGTTCCGAATCGTGCTCCCGCTGCAGCGTGGGCCTCATTTTCGGATCGGTGTTTGGCCTCCGTCGTTCAGGATGGCGTTCTCGCCCCAGCGCGGGCCTCTTTCTCGCGCGCCCATCCGCCCGCCACCACCGCGCCGCACCACCACCACCACCACCACCACCACCACCACCACCACCACCACCACCACCACCAGCACCACCATCACCACCACCACCACAACCACCACCACCACCACCACCACCACCACCACCACCACCACCACCACCACCACCACCACCACCAGCACCACCACCACCACCACCACCACCACCACCACCACCACCACCACCACCACCACCACCACCACCACCACCACCACCACACACCACACACCACACACGCACGCACGCACGCACGCACGCGCACCACCACCCACTACGCACGCGCGCGCGGAGCCACAAGTCCGCTACGACACGCGTCCGCGGATAGAGAAAATCAGCGCCATGGTAAGGGATGGGAGGGAGGGGTAGGACGTCAGATATGACGCGAGCGCACCTAGCTTGTCCTCCTCCCCCCTCCCCTCCTCCTCTCCTCCTCCTCCTCCTCCCGACTCCTCCTCCTCCTCCTCCTCCTCCTCCTCCTCCTCCTCCTCCTCCTCCTCCTCCTCCTCCTCTCCTCCTCCTCCTCCTCCTCCTCCTCCTCCCCCTCCTCCCCCTCCTCCTCCCCCTCCCTCCCTCCCTCGGTGGCAGCGCCCCAGCCCTCTCCAGCGGCCCCTGCGAGCCCCAGCAGGCCATCGGCGCGCTTCCAGAAGAAGGCCCACGAGCGTGTTCCGAGACGCACGAGGAGGCCCCCAAGAAGGCCCCCAGACGGCCGAGGACGGCCCAAGAGGCTTCCGAAACGCCCCAAGTGGGCTCCACGACGAGCCCCAAGAGAGCCCGAACACCGACAGATCGTTTTTATATTCTTGGGAAAACGTGCATGTTGGCAGTTCCCAGGCTTGCCCGCTTCATAGCGTCCAAGACGGCCGTACAAGGTCTCAAGATGGCCCTAGGACGGCTCATGAGGCGCCCCTGGCGGCCCACGGGGTACAGCCTCAAGAGCGGCCCAGGACGGCCCTAGACGACCCCCAGACGGTGCCCAGACTGCTCCAGAGACGCCCAAGGCGGCCCCAGGCAACCGCCAGACGGCCCTGACGACGCCTCACACGGCCTCCAGACGGCCCAAGAGGCTTGCAAAACGCCCCAAGTGGGCTCCACCACGAGACCCAAGCGAGCTCGCACACAAAAAATCGTCCCATTCCCTTGGGAAATAACGCATTTTCACAGTTCTCGGGCTTGCCCGCTTCATAGCGTCCAAGACAGCCATACAAGGGCCCAAGACGGCCCCAGGACGGCTCCTGAGGCGCCCCTGGCGGCCCACGGGGGAACCAAAACAGCCTCAAGAGCGGCCCAGGACGGCCCTAGACGACCCCCAGACGGTGCCCAGACTGCTCCAGAGAAGACGGCCCCAGACAACCCCTGGACGCCCCGGACCGCCTCCACACGGCCTAAGGGGCCCCGAAACATTCCCAGAGGGCCCCAGGAGGCTTCCAGGAGGCCGAAAAGCAGCGCTGAGAGGCTCCAAACGATCCCCAGAGGCCCCACGATCACGGCCCAAGAAGCACCGAAGATAGTACCAACAGCGGCCCAAGACGGCCTAAGACGGCCACAGACGGTCCCAAAACGGCTCCCAGCGCACCATGGGGCTCTTGTGCTTGTTCGGCGCTCCCTGCCGGATTTGGCCCGAAATCCCTCGCCATGTTTGTCGGTATGGAGCCCTCTCCGCGGCCTCTTGAGGCCATGCCGTGTTTCGCTCTTCAATTCTGGTAACCCAGAATCGCCTCGCCTCGGGGGGGCTCATAGCTCGGGGGTGGTTTTGAAACAGGCCCCAGAGATCTCCTGGCAGGTCTCGGCCCTGCCCCATCATAACAGGGCAGGTTCTCGATGCTACTTCGGTCCGCTTTGGGCCATCTCCGGCTCCTATCGGCGATCATTTCGGGCCATCTTTGGGGCTTCGTGGGGTATTTTGGCGGGTCCCGCCCCTGCCCGATCATGACACTACGCCATTTGGGCCCACTTTGGGCCACCTCCGCCAGTGGCAGCAAGCACGGGTCCACGCTGGTCAGCTACAGCGCTGGGATCAGCGCTTGCGAGAAGGGCGAGCAGTGGCAGCGGGCTCTGGCGCTGCTGCGAGAGATTCGCGAGGCGAAGCTGGAGCCCAACGTCACCTTCTCTACTGCAATGCAGCGTTCACCGCTCGCCACATGGGTCGAGCAGTGGCTTTGGATCGGCCCCCGCTGGTGGCTACCGGCGCGGCCCCGGGCCGTGGGCCGGCCCCCTCGGCGGCCCTCGGCGCGGCCCCCAGGGCCCCGGCGCGCTTGCAGACGGCCCAAGACGGCTCCTCGGGCGCCTAAGGCGGCCCCAAGCGGGGGCCCAGACAGGTTGGGAGCGCTCCCGAGAGGCCCCAGGGGCCCCGGCGCGCTTCCGAGGCGGCTTCAGAGCGCTCCGAGCCGCCCCCGGAGGCCTCCAAGAGGGCCTGAACACGGCCGAAGACGGTCCAAGAGGGCCTCCGAGAGGGGCCCCGAGCGCTCGAAGACGCCCAAGACAGCCGCCAGACGACCCAAGCGGCTTCCAGAATGCTCCAAGCGGGCTCCAGAGAAAGCCCCCGGAGAGCCCGAACAGGGACAAATCGTCCCAATCACTAAGGAAAACGTTCATTTCGGAAGTTCCCGTGCTTTTCGTCTTCGCAGCGTCCAGGACGGCAAAACAGGCCATGAAGATGGCCCCAAGACGCCTCAGGAGGCTGTTAGCAGGGTCCCAAGACTGCTCACACTGCGCCAGGACGGCTCCTCAAGCGCCTATGTCGGCCCCCTCAGGGGGTCAGGACAGGCTGGGGGGGCCGCTCATTGGCCCCTCTGAAGCCCTGAAGGAGGCCCCCAAAGAGGGCGCCAAGAGGGCTCCAAGAAGACCCCAAGCCGTCCCAAGAGTGTAGCATTGTCGTGCAGCATTCCTGGGGCCCTCCTTGGAGCCCTCGTGAAGCTCACGTGGGCCGCTCTGGGGCCGCTCATTGGCCCCTCCAGGGCTCTGGAGGAGGCCCCAGGAGAGCCCCTCCTCCTCCTCCTCCTCCTCCTCCTCCTCCTCCTCGTCCATCTCCTCCTCCTCCTCCTCGTCCATCTCCTCCTCCTCCTCCTTCTCCTCCTCGTCCTCGTCCTCCTCCTCCTCCGCCTCTTCCTCCTTCGCGTTTTCTGCTCACCGTGTCGTCGAGCTTCCCCCCTCGCGCCCGCTGGCCAGGCGAAACGGGCGGAAATGCTGCCTGGCACCCCCCCTGCTCAGCGAGATGTGGGAGGCGAGCGCAAATCACTTGCCAATTCGTGGCAGCATGTCGTGGACGGAGCCCACGGGTCAGCAAGCACGGGTGCACACTAGTCAGCTACAGCGCTGGGATCAGCGCTTGCGAGACGGGCGAGCAGTGGCAGCAGGCCTTGGCGCTGCTGAGCGAGATGTGGAAGGCGAAGCTGACGCCCGATATCATCAGCTACAGCGCTGGGATCAGCGCTTGCGAGAAGGGCGAGCAGTGGCAGCGGGCCTTGGCGCTGCTAAGCGAGATGTGGAAGGCGAAGCTGACGCCCGATATAATCAGCTACAATGCTGGGATCAGTGCTTGCGAAAAGGGCGAGCAGTGGCAGCGGGCTTTGGCGCTGCTGCACGATATTCGCGAGGCGAAACTGGAGCCCAACGTCATCGGCTACAGCGCTGGGATCAGCGCTTGCGAAAAGGGCGAGCAATGGCAGCGGGCGCTGGCGCTGCTGAGCCAGATGCGTGATTCGAAGCTGCAGCCCAACGTCATCTCTACTACATTGCAGGGGCACGTGCGTGCGGGAAGGGCGCAGGCTCAAATGTCTCAAAACCGCCCCGGGCTGGCCCCGGGCCGCCCCGGACCGCCCAGGCAGGCCCCAGGACATGTCGAGAGAGCCCCCAGAAGCCCCCAAGACGGCCCCGGAGAGCCCCGGCACGCTTAAAGATGGGCCCAAGACGCCCGAGATTCGCCCCAGGCGGCCCAAGAGGCGTCCAAGACGCCCGAAGAGGCCTCCCAAGAGGGCCCCGAGCGACAGAAATCGTCGATTTCTACTGTGTTTTTCTATATTTTCGGCCACCTCGCCTCGTCGGCTTCCCGACGCTCCAAGACGGCTCAAGAAGCCCCCTCGACCGCTCCAAGACGGCCGAAGAGGACCCCAAGAGAGCCCCAAGACGGGCCAGGAGGGCCCCCAGACGGTCCCAAGACGCCCCAGGACGGCCCCCGGACGGCCCAGGAGGCGCCCAAGACGACCCAAGAGGCACCCAAGACGGCCCCAGGAGCGGTCCAAGACGGCCCACGACAGCCCAAGAGGCGCCGAGGCGGGTTCCAGACGGCCCCAAGACGGCCCAAGAGGCACCCAAGACGGCCAGAGAGGGCCCTAAGAGCCCCCCCGGGAGGCCCAAACGAAGGCCGAAGAGGCTCCGAAACGGCCCCCACGAAGCCTTCAGTGTCTTCAGAAAATTCCCTCCAGGAGCGGGGGAGCGGACGAGAGGCGACAGGCATATCGCAGGCCAAAACGCCCCAAGAGATCCCCAAACGGCCCCCACGAAGCCCTAAGTGGCCTCCAAATTGCTTCCAGGAGGGGGGGAGCGGACGAGAGGCGACCGGCATATCGAAGGCACAAAAGAACAATGTTGGACGCTCCGAGGGCCTTCGATGTTTCTCCGTTGGGGAGAGTCGTCGTAGGATCGACGATTGCCGACCGAGGGCAGCGAATCCAGTGGAGGCCCAAGAGGCCCCCAGGAGCCCAAAAGAGATCCCCAAGAGGTGCCACGGGGCTTAAAAACTGCTTCGAAGCGAGGGGGGCGGACGAGGGGACCGCCTCAGGAGGTTTTGGACGGTTTTGGGCCTCAAAATCGTCCGCTTTACGACGGTTTTGGAAGGATTTTGGCCTTCTCGCCTTTTCCGCTTTCCGACGCTCGAAGACGGCCCAAGAGGCCTCCAAGAGCGCCCCAGAACGGCCCAAGAGGTTTCCAAGAGCGCCCCAAGACAGCCCAAGAGGGCCCCAAGACGACCCAAGAGACGCTCAAGACGGCCCACGAGGGCCCGAAGACAGGCCCAAGAGGGGGCCAAGAGGGGGACCACGGACCGAAAATCCGAGCCTTCCGCCCCAAGAGGGCGCCAGGAGGCCCAAACAGGCCCCCAAGAGGCCCCAAGGGGCCGCCAAGAATCCCCCGAAGAGGCCCCAGGAGGCTCCCAAGGAGCCCAAACGAGGCCCCTACAGAGGCCCCAACAGCTTCCAAAATGGCCCCGAAGAGGCCTCGAGCCCGCCTCCGAGCTTCCTCGCCGCGAGGGTGCCAACACGGCCCCAGACCGGCCCAGGACGGCCCAAGGCGCGCTCAAGACGGCCCAAGACGATTCCAAGACGGTCCCAGGAGGGTGCGCCCAGGACGGCCCAAGGACGCGCCCGTTCGGGGCCTCAAGACGGGCCAAGATGGCAAGAGAGTCCCAGCTGGCAAAAATCGTTAATTTTCCATTGTTTACTGTTACACCCTTTGCGTTTCCCGCCGTTTCGGCGGTCCGATGCACCAAGAGGCCCCAGAAAGTCCCAGGAGGGTCCGAGGAACCGCCCAGGAAGGCCCCAAGACGGGCCAAGACGGACCCAGCACAACCCAAGGCGCGCTGCGACGGCTCAAGACGGCTCCAAGACAGCCCCAAGAGGGTGCCAACACGGCCCCTGCTGGGCCCAGGACGGCCCAAGGAGGCGCACAGGAGGGGCCCAAGACGACTCCAAGGCGGCCTCCTCACGGTCCCAGACGGCTCCAAGACAGCCCCACGAGGACCCCGATGGGCCCAGGACGGCCTACGGACGCGCCCATGAGGGGCCCACGACGAACCAAGACGGCCCCATCAGGGCAAACGGCGCCCTCAAGACGGGCCTAGACGGCTCCAAGACGGCCCTTTGAGGGAGCCAACGCGGCCCCACACCCTTCGGGCGCACACTTGGGGGGGCTGGGAGCTTGCGACAAGTCTCCCACATTCATTGTCCTGCCCCATTCTGTTCGCCTGGAGGCCTCCTCCAACCCTGTGGGCGAACAAGAGGAATCCCAGCGGGACGCCAACCCTGGGGCCCGTGGGCCCCGCGCCGCTTGGGCAGAAGACGAACGCCGGGTCTGACAGGCCAGCTACCGCCCCCCTTTGCCCGATATGCTGTGCCATTCTGTTCCCCCAGGGGCCTTGGCTAACTCTTCGGGCCAAGCAGACCGGACCCCTGGGACAGCAGCCAATTGATATGACCCTGGGACCTCTCCGCATTCTTCGGACGAGCATCTGGGGGGCCCAGGAGATTCGGACAGGTCTTCCCCATTCCTTGCCCTGTCCCGTTCTGTTCGCCCGAAGGCCTCCACAGACCCTCTGGGCGAACAGAATGGGACATGGCGAACAAACCCTCCCGTTGGCGGTGATGCGACTGGATCGCACCATCAAGGCGCGCCCGGAGGTGATGGCCGACCCAACAGCGGTTTCTCTTAAGAGTTCACTGGATTTCAAATTTTCTTGAAGCTCTCTTGGGCCCTCCCTGTAGATCCTTGCGAGCCTCCCCGGCGCTTTCGGTGGCTTTCCCCGATGGCCTCCCGAGCCCTTCCCCGAGCGCTCCTGAGACGCCTCAGATGGGCTTCGACTTCGACGCACATCCCCGAGAGACTTCGAAACTGTCCTCAATAGGAGGGGGGTGAACGAGCAGTGCGCTGGGCCAAGCTGCTGCAGCGCTGCAAGAGCTCGGACACGAAGGCGCGGTCTCGCTGCCGCCGCCCGAGCCGCCGCCGTGTTTGTAGATTTTCGGTACAATCTGCGCCGTTCCTCCGAGAACCATTCCAGAAAGATGTCGTGGACGGAGTCCACGGGTCAGCCCTAGTCAGCTACAGCGCTGGGATCAGTGCTTGCGAGAAGGGCGAGCAGTGGCAGCGGGCTCTGGCGCTGCTGAGCGAGATGCGCAAGGCGAAGCTGACGCCCGATATCATCTAACCTACAATACCGGGCATTGCGCGTGCGAGAAGGGCCATTGGGGGCACCCTCGCCGGGCCCTGGGGGGCGGCACCTCGGTGGCTCCGCTCGTGGGGACGGTCCACGCGGGCCCCCAGAGAGCCCACGGTGGTTCCCAGGGAGCCCCAAGAGAGCCCAAGACGGCCCAAGAGGCCTCCACGACGGCCCAAGAGACGCCCAAGTGGCGTCCCAGGAGGGCCCCAAGAGGCCAAAATCATCGATGCTCCAAAGGAGCACGTACAGTTCGAGCATGTACGGCTTTTCGGCTTTCATGGTGCTGAGGACGGTCCAAGAGGCCCCCAAGACGGCCCAAGAGGCTCCCAAGAGGCCCCCCAAACGGAAACGGCCCAAGAGGGCGCCAAGACGGCCCAAGACGCGCCCAAGACGGCCCAAGAGGGCCCCAAGACGGCCCCAAGAGGGGGACCTCGAACCGAAAATCCCAGCCTTCCGCCCCAAAACGCCCCCAAGAGGCCCCGAAGAGGCACCAAGAGGCCCCCGAGAGGCCCAGAAGAGGCCCCAAGATGCCCCCAAACGGCCCCCAAATGGCTTCGAAACTGCCTCCGAGAGGCTCGCGAGAAGCCTCCCCAGAAGGCCAACTGTGGAACAACCTCCCATCTGGCCCAGCACGGCGCCCAAGGTTTCCGAAATCGGCCCAGGTGGACTCCCAGGAAGCCCTGAACTTTCATATTTCACTGAAGCCCCGTCGGATGGGAAAAACACACACACACACCACACCTTTTGGGACACCTCTCGCATCGTACCTCACGCCTCCTGAGACACGCGGCGTGCGAGAGAGGCCTCAGAAAACAGCGTCCCTGGGTGCCGCAGGGGGCCTGGACGAATTTTTGGCAAGCCCTCCCGAGGAAGAGGTGTCCCATGAGGTGCGGGGTATTGTTTTTTACTCACAGGTGGACTCCCTCCTCTCTTGGAACTGTCTTGGGGCGCCTTTGGAGCTCTCTTGGGACCCTCTGGGGGCCATCTTGGGGCCCCAAGAGGGACCTACAACCTGTCACGAAGACGGCCTCTTTTCGTGATAAGTTGTTGGGCCTTTTTCAAAACCCTCTTGGGGCCCTCTTGGGCCAGTCTTGGGTTCGCCTGAGGGGGTCCTATGGGGGCTGAGGGCCCCCTGAGAGCTCTAGCCGACTTGCCCCCGCGTCTGGAGCTCTTGAGGGCTCACTTGGGGCCCGCTTGGGGCCCTCTGGAACAGTCTTGGGGCCCCTTTGGAGCTTTCCTGCGGCCCTCTTGGGGCCATCTTGGGCTGGAAGGGGATGGCCGAAAACCTTTCAGACCGAGCTGCCAACGCCCTGGAACGCTTTTTCTGGGACTACTCCCGCACGGCGCGTGTTCCAGGAGGCGCGGGGTATGGTTTTCCCATACAGGTTACACTCCCTTCCTCGACCTCGTTCTCCTCGTTGCCCACGGTTCCCTCTGCACAGTGGCTGCCGTCGTTTGCCAGTCACGTCGCTCCACCCACCTCTCGGGTTACTGTCGATGCTGCCATATCCGATGCTGCTGCAAACGATGCTCTCGGCGTCGACAGGATCATCGAGCACCCAGCTCGCACTGAAGCACTACGCAGCAGCATGCGCCCTCCCAATACATTAGCAATCGTGGACGGTAGTCCACAGGTCAGCCCTAGTCAGCTACAATTCTGGGATCAGCGCGTGCGAGAAGGGCGAGCAGTGGCAGCGGGCCCTGGCGCTGCTGAGCGAGATGCGGGAGGCGAAGCTGGAGCCCACCGATATCAGCTACGCCGCTGCGATTTGCGCGCGTGGGGGACGCGACTGGTGGCGGCATGCGCTGGCGCTGCTCAGCGAGTTGCGGGAATGCAATGTGGAGACGAACCAAAACATTTACAACTTGGGCATCACAGCGTATGAGAGATCGTGTCAGACCTCGGCGGGATTCCCAGGCTATCGCGGGCTGGGTCTTTCTCGTTTTCGAGTGTCTTGCGAAGCGCTTTGCGTGCGAGAACCTGCTGGGCAACGCCTGCGATCACGTGGACGGCAATCCTTCTCTTGAATCTGGCAGCGGTCTTTCTCCGTCCTGCAGGAAGCCGCCTCGCTGGTCATTGCACGAGTCCGCCCAGTTTGGCTACGGCGCTGACGTCAGCACGCGCGAGAGAGCCGAGCATTGCAAGGCCTGCCGCGGTTCGGCGAGATGGCGTCTGCGACGTCGGAGCCCAGTGTCGACGCTACTACTCAGCGAGCTGCGGGATGCGATGCCGGAGCCCGAGGCCATCAGCTACAGCGCTGGGGGCAGCGCGTGCGGTAAAGGCGAGCAGTGGCAGCGCGCTGTGGCGCTGCTGAGCGAGACGCGCGAGGCGAAGCTGGAACCTCACGTCATCTCTATCATCATGCAGCGCTCACCGCTCGCCAAATGGGCGAGCAGTGGCCTTGGACCAGCCCCCTCTGGCGGCCACCAGCGCGGCCCCGGGGCCCCAGCGCGCTTCCAAGATGGCTCACGAGCGCTCCGAGCCGCCCCAAGAGGCACCCAAGAGGGCCCAAAAGCGGCCGAAGACGGTCCAAGAGGACCTCCAAGATGGGCCTCGAAGACGCCCAAAGCCGTCGGACGGCCCAACAGGCTTTCAAAATGCTCCAATTGGGCTCCAGAGAAAGCCCCCCGAGAGCCTGAACATGGACAAATCGTCCCAATCCCCACAGGCCCTCAAGATCGTCCCAAGACGCCTCAAGAGGCTGCCAGGGGGGCCCCAAGACTGTTCAAGACTGCGCCAGGACGGCTCGTCAGGCGCCTATGGCGGCCCCAAGAGGGGGCCAGGACAGGTTGGGAGCGCTTCCGAGGGGCCCCAAGAGGGGGCCAGGAGGACCCCAAGAGTGCCCCACCAAGGCCCCATGACGCATGTACTTGGGCGCCCCTCTCGCAAGCCCAAGAAACATATCAAGTACATGCGGTTTGGGGCCCTCTTGGGGCCCGCTGGGGGCGCTCTTGCGGCCCATTTGAGGCCTTCGGGCCCCTCCAGGACAGGGCCGAGTGCTGTCTGCCACAGAGAGGCGCTCCGTGGCAGAATGGTGGGCCCGCGCCCAGCGGCGTCCTGGGGCCCTCTTGGAGCCATCTGGGGGCCCGCCTCGTGCCCTCTGGCACGACGGCCCCAAGACGGTCCCGACACTGCCCCAGAGGCGCCCGAGACGGCCCCAAACGGGCCGCGCGGTCGCGCGGCCCACCCATGGTTCGACAACCCCCGCCGCCAGGGGCAGAGAGCACGGGTACGTCTCTTCTACAACGCAACGATCTTTGCAAGACGCCCGAGATACCCTCCCGACAGCCCAAGAGGCCTCCCAAGACGCTCGAAGTGGGCTCCAAGACGAGCCCCACGAACGCCCGCACAAGCAGAAATCGTCCCAATCCTTAGAGAAAGCGTGCAATTTCGCAATTCCCGTGCTTCTCGTTTTCAAAGCGTCCAAGAGGACAATGCACGCCCCCAAGGTCGCCCCAGGACGACGCAGGAGCGGCACATGATGGCCCCAAGACGGCCTGAGGCGGCCCCAGGACGGCCCAAGACGGCCCCAGGACCGCTCCTGAGGCGCCCACGACGGCCCAAGAGTCACCCCAAGAGCGGCCAAAGACAGCCCAGGACGGGCCCAAAAGACGGCCCCAAGCCGGCCCCAGACGCGTCCAAGACGGCCCCAAGACGGCCCAAGGGGCACCCAAGACGGCCCAAGAGGGCCCCAAGAGGCCCCCAGGAAGCTGCAAGACGGTCCAAGGGGGCCCCAAAATGCCCCTAGAAGGCCGAAAAGAAACCCCGAAAGGCCCCCAAACGGTTCCCAAGGAGAAGGAAGCGCCCGCCATCAGTGGCCGCATAGGGAGCGTTGCCTTCCTCCGTGGGTGCGGGCGCGAGCGAAAGAGCGCCGAATCATGAAGAGCAACATGGGCGCTACTTCCCTTTGCTATTGCCTCCCGGCTCCAGGGCGCCCTTCGCCGCTGCCGCCCAGGCGAGGCGAGGTGCACCAGAGGCCTCCAGGGAGCGCAGTCCCCAACACCGCCTCATCCCGGAGGGCCGCGGAGACGGACGCCCAAGAGGTCGTGGCTCCCTGCGCGTCCACAGTGAGCCCCCATGCGCCTCCTCCTCCTCCTCCTCCTCCTCCTCGTCCTCCTCGTCCTCCTCCTCCTCGTCCTCCTCGTCCTCCTCCTCCTCCTCCTCCTCCTCCTCCTTGCCCTCCTCCTCCTCCTCCTCCTCCTCCTCCTCCTCCTCCTCCTTCTCCTCCTCCTCCTCCTCCTCCTTCTCTCCTCCTTCTCTCCTGGGGCAGCATCGACCTCTCCCGTGGGCAGCCGCGGCGGCACACAGCAGCAGCAGGCAGCGGCAGGCAGCAGGCAGAAGCACGCACCACGGGGCACTGGCCATCTGCAGCAACCTGCAGCCACAAGCAGCACGAGCACGCAGCAGCGGCCTCAAGCACTACCACGAGTACACAAGAGCTGCAGCGAGCAGCAGCACGCGGTAGCATGAGCGGAATGCGAGGTCGGGCCCCGCAATCAGATGTCAGTTCGTGCAGACTTCGTGGACGGAGTCCACGGGTCAGTCCTACCGACGTCGCCAGCCTCCTTCGGGTGCCCACAACCCACGACGACTACCACCACCACCACCACCACGACAACGACGCCGAACGACGGCGGCCTCGCGGCGGCGACGACAACGATGCCGACGATGACGGCGACGACGGCGGCCCCGCGACGGCCAAACTGCTGGAGCGCTGCCAGAGCTCGGACACGAAGGCGCGGTCTCGCTGCCGCCGCCCTGGCCGCCGCCCTGCTTGTAGGTTTTCGGCGAAATCTCCGCCGTTCCCCTGGGAACCATTACAGGAAGATGTCGTGGACGGAGTCCACGGGTCAGTCCTAGACAGCGACAGCGCGGGGGTCAGCGCGTGAGAGAAGGGTGAGCAGTGGCAGCGGGCTTGGGGGCTGTTGAGCGAGATGTGGATGGCGAAGCTGACGCCCGATGTCATTAGCTACAGCGCCGGGGCCAGTGCGTGCGAAAGAGGCAAGCAATGCCAGAGGGCACTGTCGCTGCTGAGTGAGACGCGGGAGTTGAAGCTGATGCCGCCCAACGTCATCTCTACTACAATGCCGCGGCTTCTGCGTGCCGAAGAAAAAATTCTCGCGAGGTCCAGAGAGCCCCAGGGGCTCCAAAACGGCGCGAAAAGCTGGATGTTCTGGCAGCAGTTGACGACTCCATGCTGGGACGAGCCGCTGGGTGAGGCTGCAGCGCATGCTCTTCGGGGGCCTCTCCCTCATCATACCTGCTCCTCCATGCTGCTGGTCTGCATGTCTGCCGCCCAGCACGAGGTGGGTGTGCAGCGCACGCGCCTCCGGGGCCTCCTCCTCAGCTCCCCTGCTCTTCCCTGCTGCTGGTACTTCTCGGCGCACTTGGAATGTGTACGGAAAGAGTGGCGTGACGAAGGCCGACAGCATTCTGGCCCAGTATGAACCGGACTCGTAGCCAGCGTCGCCGCGGACGCTGTCCGCTCGAGGCGAAGGGTCGCTTGCCCAGCAGCGGCCGCTGTTGGCTCTGGGCAGCACCTGCCTTTGGGCATCGTGCCCATGCTTCCCGTGCCCATGTCCCGTGTTCTCGTCGGCGAAACACGGTATGTCAGCCAGCGTGGACCCCAAACAGCGTCTTTCGAGGTGTGCAGTCATTGTGGGCCAGTATTTGTCGTGCATTCTATGAGGTGCAATGCATGTTGAGCAATCGATGCTGTGCAACATGTGTGGCGCAACCCTTAGTGGTGCAATCTATGTGGTGCGCAATTCATGCGGTGCAATCGACGTGGTGCAATCGAAGTGGTCAATCTATGCTGTGCAGTATATATGGTGCAATCTATGTGGTGCAAACTATGCGGCGCAATTTATCGGTGCTACTTATAATGTGCAATCTATGGTGGGCAATATATATATATATATATATATATATATATATATATATATACATTCATATATATATATATATATAAACATTATGCAATCTGAGTCGTGACGTCTATGTGGTGCAATCTACGTGCCCCTGTGATCCTTAGAGGAGAAATAAGAACCCCTACGTGCAAGCACTGTTTGGGGAATCCAGCGCTTGTTCACACCGTCAGGAACTCATCACCCAGGATTGCTGGAAAGTGTACACCCCGACGTGCCACTTTCGGGGCGTCAATTTTCCAGCAACTCTGGGGTAGGCGTTGCCGGCGGTGGAACAGTTTATCATGCACCGTTCTTCTTCGGTAGCAAGTCATGGCATCCTTGTACATCCTCGTAACTTCGTCTCTAGGAGTGCGCTAGCGTCGATTAGCGTTTGGATATTGATGAGATAGCACCGATCTCGTGTCGAGTATGGCGGTTCGCGTCGATTTAGCGTCGACTTCGCGTCGGCTAGCACCGATCGGCGTCGATCTGCACGAGCCAGCAGGATGGCATGGGAGACTCACACGAGTTGCCACTGAACCGCTCTTCGTTTGCTCACTGCCGGGCGCGCAATTTCTCCCCGCCCAGCACAAGGTGGGGCTGCAGCGCATGCTCTTCGGGGGCTTCTCCCTTGGCGGCCACATGGCCGCGTGGGTCGGCCTGCAGCTGCCGAGCCCGGGCTGCGCCGGGGCGCTGCCGACGACGGCGAGGACGACGCCGACAGCGGCGACGATGCCGAGGAGCTTGCCGCCGCCGACGACGACTTCGCCAGCGACGCCGACGGCACCGACAGTAGCGCCGACGCCGGCGGCGTCGACGGCGACGGCGCCGACGCCGACGAGCACGGCGGCTGCGGCGCCGCCGGCGCCGCTGCCGCCGACGCTAACGGCAGCGGCGACGCCGACAGCACCGAGGCGCCGACGACGATGACGACGATGACGACGACGATGACGGCGACGACGATGACGCCGATGCCGACGCCGACGCCGACGCTGACGCCGACGCCAATGGCGGCGACGGCGGCGGCAAGGGGGAGAGGGGGGAGGCGGAGTGAGAGGAGGAGACAGAAGGATACGAGGAAGCGTAGAGCAGAAGCCGCAGGGGCAGCAGCAGCAGGGAGAGGGGGAGATGATGAGGAGGAGGCGGAGGAGAAAGGAGGAGAAAGGAGGAGAAAGGAGGAGAAAGGAGGGAGGAGGGAGGAAGGAGGAGGAGGAGGAAGGAGGAGGAGGAGGAAGGAGGAGGAGGAGTGATGAGGAAGGAGGGACCAAACGGGACCAATGTAAACCCAAGACTCATCAACGATGTTGGTCTACACCCTCCCTCCAATCTCTCTCTTCGTTGGTCCCCACGGGTTCATTTCCACTGAGGGAATTGCGCCGTTGGGGGACAACTGTGTGAAAATCGTGAGGCGTTCCAAACACCATCCTCAGGACTTCAACGCCACGAGTTAATATGACTGTGACGTCTTGGCGATCCTGAATCGTGCCAGAACACCAGTCCTGGGACTTCAACACCACGAGTCAACGTAACTGTTGCGCCCTGACAATCCTGAATCATTCCGAAACACCGCCCCTGGTACGTTAACCATGCGAATCAATGAAATAATGGGCGCGGCGCTGAGGCGAGAGCCACATTTTGAGAACGACCCGCCCTCAATCCGCGAAGTTCTTGCAATTTTCTAAAACGAATGTGCGCGTCGACAAGGCGAGAACCATATTTTGAAGAGGAGCCGCCCTCAATCCGTGAAGCTCCTGCAATTATCTAAAACGAATGTGCGCGTCGACAAAGCGAGAGCCACATTTTGAAAACGGCCCACCCTCAATCCGTGAAGCTGTTGCAAGTCTTGAAAACGAATGTGCGCGGCGCTAAGGCGAGAGCCACATGTTGAAAACTACTCGCCCTCAAGCTTCAGGACGATAAGTGATGAGGAAGTCTCAGGCTAAACACCTAGCCCGCCCTTTCGACCGGCCTCGGGGTGCGACAGGGAGTCAGGAAGAGGAATGGAGGGATAAGGAAGCAGGGAGGAGGGAGGAGGAAGGAGGAATGAGGGAGGAACGAGGGAGGAACGAGGAGGGAGGAGGAAGGAGGGAGGAGGAGAACGAGGAGGAGGAGGAGAACGAGGAGGAGGAGGAGGAGGAGGAGGAGGAGAACAAGGATGAGGAGAACGATGAGGAGGAGGAGAACGAGGAGGAGGAGGCGGAGGAGGA